CCCCATTCCCTTCCCAGAGCTGGGGGTGGAACCCAGGAGTCCTCACTTCCAATCCCCCTGCAGCCCCCCATCCTTGGCAACTCCCATCCCTCTGATCCCTCTGCTGTAGCTCCCCCCCCGGCATCCATCCACCCCCTCGTCAGCTCTCCTCTCCTCCCCCCCGTGCAGACGCTGAAGAACATGTGGCTTCAGAAATACAGCAGGAACACAGCGGACCCCGGCATCCTGGTGCTCCTGGCCTGCGGGACGATGTCCAGCACCTGCGGGCAGATCGCCAGCTACCCCCTGGCCTTGGTGAGGACCCGGATGCAAGCCCAAGGTGAGATCGGGGGACATGCACTGCGTGAGGGATGCCTTTGGGGGGCTGGGGCAGTGGCCCAGATACCCCGGGGATGGGCATGGCCTAAGGACTCGCAAAGCAGAGGAGATTTCTGCATCCCAGGGCAGGACCCACAGCCGACCCAGGTGCATTATGGGCTAGGAGAACCAGTGGTCCAATCCCCATGGGCCAACAGACCAGGCAGCCAGGGTGGTTGGGGGACCAGCCGCAGCCCCTGTTCTGGGCTCCCTGCTTTCCGGCGATGGGGTCTTCCTCTCAGTGCACGGCAGGCGCTCAGCACTTCACCTGGCCCAGCGCCTGGGGGCAGATCCGTGGGGCAAGTGGGAGTTTAGTGCAGGTCAGCTGCAGCATTAGGACGAGCCGTCCCCATGCAGCATGGCTGTGCCCAGGTGCCTCACCCCAGAGGCAGCTGCATTTCCATGCGGGGCAAGCCATCCCTTTGCTGCGTGGCTGGGTCCCAGCTGCTGCGCAATGCATTCACCATATTTGGGGCCCTCTGCCTGGCTCCCTGTGTCAACAAGAGCAGCCTTGGGGCTGCTCTAACTCATGCTTCGCCCTGTGGGCCCTGGGGAGCAGAGAACAGCTGTAGCACGGCATACTCTGGCAATGCCCCCGAGCCCCCGCTGCATGGGGGGCTGGGAGCACGGCTGGGGCAAGGCTCCCTAAAAGCTGGGAGGGGTCAGGTGGAGGTGACAGTGAGTGGCAGGACCTGACCGGGACCCCTTCTCCCCCCAGCCTCCATCGAGGGCGCCCCGCAGCCCACCATGCTGGGCCTCTTCAAGCACATCCTGTCGCGGGAGGGGGTGCTGGGCCTGTACCGGGGCATCGCCCCCAACTTCATGAAAGTGATCCCGGCCGTCAGCATCAGCTACGTCGTCTACGAGAACATGAAGCAGGTGCTGGGCGTGACGTCCAGATGAACCCGCCGGCCCGGCGGGGCCTGGATGCCCCTGCCCCACCGCTTGCCCCCCGCCCCCTCGGTGCGCTTTGGAGGCTGACAGAGCAGGATCGGGGCCGGGGGGGGGGGGGCGGCTCCGGATCCAGGAGCGTTAAGAGAGACGGTGAGAGATCTCAGCTGGACCCCCCCACACACACACCTGCTCCGATGCAGGAGACCTGAGCCGGTCCAGAGGACCAAACCCTGGGGTGTTGCCTCCGAGCGTGACCGGAAAGGAGAACCCCTCACCCCAACTCTGCCACTCAGAGCATGTCTGCGGGGGGCCCCTTTGCCAGGGGGTGGCAGCTAGGAGCAGACCCGGGGCGTTTGGGGGGAGGATTAATACAGGTTTTGACTAATTTTAGTTTGAGACTTGACAAGCTCCCCCGCCCCGCGCCCACCCCCAGCTCTGCTGCGGGGGGCGTCGCTCCTGGAAGCGCATGTACAACTGCATGCTACGGCCTGGGGCATGGCGTGTTTCCTGCACCGGGGGCTTTGCTGCCCCCCAAGCGCTCGCTGACACAGCCCTGTCGGTGGATTCCGGGGGAGACTCCTCCAATCAGCAGCCCCGACTCACCACTGACATTGGATCCCACGGGAGAATCCCTCCAATCAGCACCAACACTGGATCCCAACAGCGTCCTCCACTAGCCACTCCCCCTCCCCCCCCAATGATACAGGACTCTAGGGGACTCACCGCCACAGTGATACCACTGGATCCCATGGGGGGTCCCTACTCCTGTAGAGAGGGTCACCCCCCAAGGAGCGTTACCAGAGCCCAGCTGGAACCGCTGCAGCTCCCCCCAGCCCAGGCCCTGCACCGGGTCCCCCAAGGGGCTGCAGCCTGAAACCCACGTGCTTGTGCACGGGCCTTGCACACATGTGGGGAGGCCACGTGTGACTTGCCTGGGGGGCTACTTTGAAATCAGGGCTAGCGCCAGCTCTTCCTCCCTTGCCACCCACTGACTCTCCGCCCCCACCTAGGCAGGGGAGACCTGGCACTGGTCACCTCTTCCCCCACCCCGGGGGAAGCCAGGCAGCCTCAGAGGTCTCCCCCCCACACACACCGAGCAGATCTCCCCCTGCGCCCTGGGGCCGTGGTTGGGGCAGGGCATGGCCCTGCTGGGGGGCGGGACGCAGGGTGAGCCACACAACGCCCGCTGGCCAGAGGGGGTGGGATGCTGCGAGGGCTCGTGGCCCCAGTGTTGCCAAGGCCAGCCCGTGGGTTACCCCAGGGTAACGTTGCCTGGGCAGATGGGGGTGAAATTCCACCCAGCAGGGGGCAGTGCTGGGCATGCACAGACCAGCCGCTCTGACAGATCCCATCCAGCAGGGGGCAGCATGACATGCACACAGCAGCCCCCCTACACCCACCCCTCTCTCCACACACACACACACGAGCCCCTCTGACGTATCCCATCCAGCAGGGGGCAGCATTATCCAGCCCCAGTGGGTCCCCCGGCCCTCCCAGCACGTAGGAGTGACAGTCCATCCAGCAGGGGGCAGCGTTACACACACACAGTGCTCCCCCCCTCCCCCAACCTTGGGCAGAGGTGCCATTCTAACCTGCAGGGGGCAGCCTCACCCGCTGCATGCGCACTGCCCCCACGTAGACATACTTGAGCACGTGAAATTCCATCCACTAGGGGGCAGCACACACCCCACCCCCACCCCTCTCTTCAGCTCCCCTAGTGGGTGCCCTGGGCCAGACACTACGGAAAGCGTCGGCCTCTTTTGCACAGGGACGGTTTTAACTCGGGCCCGTTACGGACTCTGCCATGTGGAGGCCCCACCCCTCAGGTCCCGAGGCAGGGGATTGCCCCCACCCCCCCACGCTGGGGAGGGTGGATCCCCCAGACAGAAGCAGCAAGGGCTAATGTTCTTGTATTATGAGTTTGCGTCGGGGTTTTGTTAGGTCGCCCGCCTGAGGGCTCCCCGGCCGTTTTTTGCAACGGCTCATTGGGATCCGCCTGGATCCTTTCCCCAGGTTCCGAGCCGCAATCTCTTCCCAGCACCACCCCGTCACTCCGGCCGCATCAGTCACCATCTCGACCCCCCGACCTTGGACGCAGACATTTTTCCACATCGATCCTTGGCCGGCTGGCCCCGCTGCCAGCTCCGAGCCAAGGCCATGGGGGGTGACCGAACACTTTCGTCTGGCGAGGGTGTCCTAGACTCCCTGGTGGAAGGGGGACCCTGGAGAAGACCAGAAGAACGGCCAGACTGGGTCAGCCCTATGGTCCATCCGGCCCGGTGTCCTGTCTTCCGACAGGGGCCGGTGCCAGGCGCTTCAGAGGGAACGAACAGAACCAAGTGATTAGCGAGTGATCCAGCTCCTGGCCTCAGGACTTAATTTGTAATGAAAGAGGTGCCGGCGCTCAAGAATTTTTTTTTTTTTTTTACTTTCATAACGGATGCAGCAAGCCCAGAGGTGCCGGGGCTCTGAACTGCCAGACCCAGAGGTGCCCAGGCTCTGAACGGCCAGGCCCAGAGGTGCTGGGCTATGAACTGCCAAGCCCTGGCACAAATTGAGCACTGCCTATTGTCCAGTCTCCACTTCTGGCAGCCAGAGGCCCAGGGACTGAGTGGGGTGTGGGATTGATTTGTGTTGGGGGGGGGGGGGGGCGGTGGGGGGCGCCCCCCCGGTAAAACCAGGGGGGAAGTCGGGGGGGACCCCCCCCCCCCCCCCCCCCAGCTGGGTCATTGGCTGGGACCAAACCTGGGACCTATGGGTTCAAAAAGCAGATGCCTCTGCTAATTAAGCCAAAAGACAAGACTCTATAGCTCCCTCGCAGTAGCTGACTCCTGAGCCGCCATACAAAGTCTAACCACTAGAGGGCAACAGAGAGATTTGCAGAGCCCAGGGGTGCAGAGCGCTGGGGGGCTGGGAGGCCGGAAGGATCCCCCCGCCCTCCACTGAGAGCAAGGGGCTGTGTATGGGCAGGCTGTGGGGAGGGGGCCTGGTCCCAGAAGGGAAGAGCAGGTGCTGAGCAGCTGAGGACTGGGGAAGTTGTGACACGGGTGGGGAAGGAGCCCGTGGGGGTGGGGTGGGGCGGGACACTGCAAACTCCTGGCAGTGTTTGAAGTTTATTATTATTGTTTTAATCTTATTTAATTCCCCCCTTCCCCGCTCGAGGGTCGCGTGATGAGAGGCACAAAGGGTTGAGGAGACAGTAGGGGGCAGAGGCAGGTTCTTGGAGGGGGGGCAGAAACAGCCCCTCCCAGTGTGGGGCAAACAGGCTTCCCAAGGGGCAATCGGTCCCTCTCCAGCAGGGGGCGCTGTGAACACCCCGGCCCTGTGGAAGGGCAGAGTTCGAGTATCGCCGCCCTAGCATTTCCCCTTGGAGCCTGACCCCAAGACGGAGCTCCGTGGTGCCTTGCATGGTGGCCAGTACCCGGTGGGAAGAGCACGACGCTCGCCCCATCTCAGCAGGGCCTGGCGCTGCCCCCCCCCGCCCCGCCGATGGGCTGGCTGCAGGGCTGGCTGACAGGCCCGACTCTGCGCCCACGGGGGCTGCCACTTCAAAGGGAAAAAAGAGCTAATAAAGTTTTCTAAACTTTCCTGCTTGTTCTGTCGCTGGGGGGATTTTAATGGGGGCGGGGGGGCTGGGATAGCTCATGCAGGGGCCGGAGCCACAGCCACTGGGGACCCGAGTAGCTGGGCCTCTCCCAGCTCCCAGCATTGCAGCCACCTGGCCGTGAAACAACCGGCTCCATTAGCCTCCGCGGCCTCGGTTTGAGTCCCGGCTCTGTCCCCAGATTCCCTACCAGCCCTTGACCTAGTCAGGCCAGCTGGGCCTCAGTTTCCTCAGAGCAACCCCTCTTTTCGGGCCCCCCCCTTGTTTAGCTGGGTAGCGCTGCCATGCAGGGGCTGTGTCTCTAGGGGTGTATCCTGCGCCGAGGCCGTGTCACAGGTAGCAGAGCTGGATTCCTGCCTGCAGGGGGCAGTGTGACGCCCAGGGGTATTCCAGCCAGCGACACACAGTTTCATGCACCGGGGAGCGAGCCGGAGCGCTGGCTCCTGTGTCAGTCCAGCTATTGGGGGTGGGTCCTTAGGGTGCCTGGGTGAGGTTCAGATAACCATGGCAACAAGAGATCCCCCCCCCCCCCACTTGCACTGGCCCCCAAGCTCATGCTGAATCCTATAGGGCACAGATTTGACCAGGGTAACTCCCACCTGGCTCAGCCACGCTCCTGTCTAAGACCGAGAAGGATGCAAGATGAGGGTTCAAGTCCTGCCTCTAGCACAGACTTCTTGGGTTGCATTGCTTTAATCGCTCTGTGCCTCAGTTTCCCCCAGTCTGCAAAATAGTGGAGAATGACCCTGACCTGCCTTGGGGTAGGTTCATTCTGAGGCACTACAGGGATGCCACATAAGGGGCAGCCTGGAGCTCCGGGGCCTGCAGGAGCCAGCGCCTGTGGGCGAGTGGGCAACTCCCTCCTCTCCGACACACGGGGGCAAATCACTAGAGCTCTGCATGCACATCTCTGCAGCAGTACTGCTGGAACCAGACCATCACCCTCATAAAGCAGGGGCCCCTATTGCTCGAGCTATCAGGGACTCTCCCTCAGCTGTTAGCTCTACAAGGACTATGACACACAGTGGTCCAGGTCATCACTTCACCACAACAACCAGGCTACAACTCAAACCCCTATGGCTTCAAGGGGGGGGGATCTCTATTAGTCGTACGGAGTCTATGACCCACAGTGGGCACTCAAAGCCTCACCCTTGGCACGCCAAGCTCCCCGAGCCCCAGTGACCCCAGTGCCCAACTCACCAAGGCGTCTCCCTGAGGCACAACCAGGGCCACAGAGTGACACCCCCACATCACCCTGGCGAAGGTGCCACTGGTGTATATATCAGTGCAAAGCAGACCCAGGGGGAGGGTGTGACCCCCCCCCCCGAGGTCAGAGATGACACGGTGCCACAACGCCACCATCAGCTTAGCGTCCCTTCTCAGCAGTCCAGTGGGTGGCCAGCAGGGGGCACCCCGCTGGATCTATGCAATGGGGCGACCCTCCCCCATGGCATCTTGGACCCTGTTGTG